TGCAGAGGAGTTTGGAGTAATCATGAAAGCCCTGTGGGCCGGTCTGTACAAGTGCATCAGTCCGCGGGATTTCAAGAACACCATAGGAAAGATCAATGATCAGTTTGCAGGCTATGACCAGCAGGACTCCCAGGAGCTGCTTCTGTTCCTCATGGATGGGCTCCATGAAGACCTCAACAAGGTAGAGCACAAACTTATACTTGATACTGGAAAAGGCCTCTGGTTTGGTTTATGAAAAGAAAAGAAAACTGAAAACGTAAACAGAAAGATGAGTCAACAACAGCTTAAACAATAAAAAATATATTTTGTTAGTCTTCCTGGAACCGGCTTAAAATGTGTTTTTTGTTCTTTCTGTATATTTTTTTTTTGTGTTTTTCACTGGGTCTCATTTTGATGATAATTTAGAGAGTAAGTAAATAGTTGTGTGTTTTTGGTCCTGCAGGAGTGTGAATGTGCCATGTCTGCATCTGTCCGGTTTGACGCTCCTTCAGAACCTCTGTGCATGCTAAATGCTAATTGCTTCATGTTTGTTCAAACAGAAAAAAAAATATTGAAGTAGTACAAAGGAATTCGGTATCTTTGTCCCTAAACCTGTTTATTTTTTTCACTTCATTAATCATGCATGGCTTGATATTTGCATAGACTTATTCCTAGTTGAATTTTGAAGTTTGATTGAGAAGATGAAAGTAGGGAGCAGCTAGTTAATTTCTCATAACCCAATCTCCATTATATCCCATTCCTTTAGCATGATTTTCTGACCCCTCTGCCATCTTCATGATTCACTCCAGAGCCCATTTAGCCTTTTTCCAGATTTTCACCTTTTTTTGATGATTATATAAACAATCTGCCACCCGAACCGCCTTGCAAAAGTACTAATAATTGTTGACCTCTTTATGTTTTGTAGAATATCATTCATCAACTATCATGTATATTATGGGAGTTTTATGTGATAAAATGGTGAAAAACTATAAAGTGGAAGAAGAACATTGAATCTGATCACTTCCCTCATGTTTCTACCTGGCAGATGGGGATTCTTTCTTGCAATCAATAATGCAACAACCAAATTTCTTCGTTTTACCTTGTGTTAGTTTGGGCCTTTTGGCTGCACGTCTGAATGGATCCATTATATCTTTGTAGGCTTATAGCTCATCTATGTTCTTCCAAGGCTTTCACAAAGCAATTTGATTATTTATTACTTAAATTTCCAAAAAAGTTTAAAAACAATCCACTGGACTTTGTTTCCAAGTTTGAAGACGTTTTGCTTCCCATCCAGGAAGCTTTATCAATTCAAATGTCAGAAATAGTATTGAGATGCTTTATACAGTAGCCCAACAAAGCCTTGTTTTTGCTTAGACAACATGCAAATTGAAACGGGCGACGCCCTTTTGAATGAGCGTCGTTTATTATTTAACGTTCATATAGATTAACTTTCATTTTCTTATTCAATCATTTTTGAGCCCATTTGATTGCATTGAATTTTATTTAAACATCACAGTAAAACAAAGAATACAAATGAATACAAGACTTTTCTCATTTTTATTTATTAAAAAGATAAGAACAATATCTTCACTTTAGGATTCACTTCTAAACTACCTTGTTTCATATAAAATGTCAAAAAAATGATAAAAATGTATGTTTGTGTCACAAAATGTAAAGAGTTCAAAAGGTGTGAAAACTTCTGCAAGGCACCGTATATTTCCCTGCCTCTCTGAGTTGGGTCGATCTTGATAATCTGCGTGCTGATGGAGCTCATGGACACTGCCCGACCAAAACATGAACCCTGCTGTCAACATGAACCCGTTTCACTTTGCTTACGCTTATTTCCATGCAGATGTGGCATTCATGATGTTAGCTCTCCAGCAAATCCCAAAGGACAATAATCTAGTAAAGGTGTGGACATAGTTGTGTTTCATTTATATGTGAATTTGATTATTTATGCTTCCTTCATTCCTATCAACTCACGAAATTCACCCATTATCATCATGTTTCAACCACTGTTAATCTGAGAGATGATAATTTTGAGAAATAAGCAGGAGCACTTTTACCTGATTGATTAATTAGATGGGCTAATTGTATTTTTGGCCAGGCAGTGTTTAATAATATACTATAGAAGCAGCAAGTCCATCAGGTCTTTTCCATCAGCTTTAATTGAACCAGGAGGGTGTTTTCCTTACAAATTTTTCAGTTGTTTATAACTATATAGCTTTCTTTTCTCGCATATCTGTTTTCAGGCCGACAACAGGAAGCGTTACAAGGAGGAAGAAAACGACCATCTGGACGACCAGACCGCAGCAAACCTGGCCTGGAGCAAACACAAGTTGCTGAATGAATCCATCATCGTAGCTCTGTTCCAGGGCCAGTTCAAGTCCACGGTGCAGTGTCTGACCTGCCACCGCAAGTCACGCACATTTGAGACCTTCATGTACCTGTCGCTGCCTCTGGCCTCCACCAGCAAGTGCTCCCTGCAGGTAGGTCACGCCTTAAATGTCCTACTTTTTTTATTGGAGTTTGCATCTTTAATTGACAATATACAATAGGAGTTAAGTCTACTGAATGGTGAAGACTTCTTTTGTCTGTAGGATCTCAGATCAATACAAAGCGTACATTTTCCTCTTATTAATATTCGTTTGTTAGCTTAGATGAATCATTTAACTTGTGAAAAAATAGTCTGAAAATGAGGCGATTGGAAGTATTTATGACTTCACAAATTACAATGCTGCCACCTAGTGTTCTTTCCTGTGCAGTGCGGTTTTCCACAGCACAAAAAACGTTTTGGAAATATGGATTAAATTATGAGTGGGTTTAGAATATTAAGGATTGTTTTATAAGCATTTATGTTATTAATTCCAGAAAATGCTTTTTTGCAACACATTATTTGTCAGACCCTGTGTTAGTCTGTGGATACAAAATGGTTTGTTCAGAGTTATGAGATGAAAGTGGAATGAGGCAAAAAAGGAATCTGTGGGTAGAAAAAATGCCGGTTGTAAATTGTAAACGGGAAAAATAAACCTAAGATGTCTTGCATTTTGAGATTGATTTTTCTTTTTTTATGGATTTGTTGACAGGACTGTCTGAGATTATTCTCTAAAGAAGAAAAACTCACAGACAACAACAAGGTTTTCTGCAGACACTGCAAAGCTCACAGAGATTCCACCAAGAAGCTGGAGATCTGGAAGGTTCCTCCTATTGTCCTGGTGCACTTAAAACGGTCCGTAGATGCTACCGGAGCTAAACTTTTTGAAGGCTTTTAAGAATTTTACCCTAAATCTATTTGTCACTGTTTATGATGGGTTTTATTTCTACAGGTTCTCTTATGAAGGTAGATGGAAGCAAAAGCTACAAACATCTGTAGATTTTCCTCTAGATGGCCTGGACCTGGCTCAGTATGTTATTGGACCTAAGCAGACCCTAAAGAGATACAACCTTTATGGAGTTTCTGTAAGTAGGAATGACACCTAACTGCTTTAGGGTTTCCATGAGCATTAAATTAACCTTTCTTTCCTCTACTGCAGAATCACTACGGTGGCTTAGACGGTGGCCACTACACTGCCTATTGCAAGAACTCCCTCAAACAGCGCTGGTACAAATTTGATGACCACGAAGTGACTGAAATCTCCTCGTCTTCAGTCAAGTCTTCCGCAGCCTACATCCTGTTTTATTCCACTCTGTGACGGCGCTGGGAGACAAATGGAGGAAAATGAACACCACGCAGCTTCGAAAACAAGCCTAGAGGTTGTTTTCTTTACAAAATCTCAGCTCTGCGAAGATGCCGGCGCACATTAGTTGAGGGTGATCGGTCATGTATGTTGACGGTGAGGGGACGACCCAGGGACTTTGGGAACCTGGTGTGGGAGTGATTGGTGAAAGTGGAGGCACACTGTGCAATGCTTCAGCTACTAGAGGACCTTTTAGCTAAAATGATGCTGCCTGTAAACATTACTGATCATCCAGAGACTAAATCAATGCTAATCTGACTTCTTTACCATAGTTCCGTTTCACGGCTGATTCCTTCCTTTCTGTTGTACTCTGTGCCGATGGCAGCAACAGCGTATGCAGGGCTAGGAGTTCGATGGCATGTACATTCTTAGCTACGCTTCTGTGAATTATTTCAGGTTTTGTCTATCGACCAAATTGTTTTTTTTTTCTTCTTCTAAAAGGTAGCAACTAGTTAAAAAGGACCATATAAATGAGAACAGACCATGTGCTTTATGGCTCTGACTGTATAACCTGTGAAGGGAGACAGTGGGATTTTCTTTTCCTGTTTGTTTTGGGGTTGTTGTTTTTTTTTTTTTCGAGGGAAATTTGCCTGTTGCTTGTTCATATTAGCCACATTTTTGCACATTCAAAATGCGATCGCTTTAAGTTGTTTATGTAGAACACACTCTTTAACAACTGACCCGTGTTTCCATCCCAGAATTCTTTCCATGGATGCTGATCCTGGGATCTTATGTCTACTCCGATTTATCATAATCACCTTCAGATTTATCATAATCAAACACTATTAAGAGGGAGACATGCTGGGATAGATGGTATTTTTTATTTAATTTCTAAGATTTTGTTTGTTGTTTACTGAGCCTGATGACATGAAGACTGGATCTCATCGTCAGCTTCGGCTGCTTGTCTGGCCGACCAAAGGATTTATGGGAGAAATGACAAATGAGACTGATTTTGCTTCTTAATGGAGCAAAGATTTGGATTTGAAGGATTTATCTACTGCTAAGTAAACTTTTATGGCCTAGCATGAACTTATCATTTTTGTCTTTTATTCATTCTTTTCTTATCAATGCTCTAAATACCGATCATTTAACATAACTATATTAACCTCAGAATAACTTGTATGACTATTTATTAAACCTGCTTCAAATGAACTCTGCCTCTTTGTCGGTTTGAACCTAGTTAGAATGTGGACCATTCATTTCAGTTGACCCTTTTTTTTTATTTCTATTTTTTTTCATCCTGTGGGGATGAAGGACAACAAGCAAATATTTACAAGCTTTTTATGCTTCCTTCAGGATGGAGAGCTCAGAGTCCCTGGATCTTTGGTTTATAGAATGGCTTATGCATGTAGAACAGAACATAAGCATTTGGAGACTGTACGAGTTTCTCTTGCACCTCCCTGACGAGAGCGTCGTCAAAGCAGTGCCACATCCCCAGCAGCGAGTTGTAGCAGACAGCTGTGTAGTGACCCATGTCCAGGTGACCTGTGTGGTTCTGGAGGGAAAAGAAAAATAGGATTTTTTTCTTTATGTGACAGCTGAATGTTTAGGGCACTTACAGTCGATGATATATATTAATGGCATTAAATAATGTAGCAGGTATTGGGCCAAATTTTGTCTCCTGACTTCTTCCTCCTTTAACACTAAAATCTAATTTTCAATAGTTATTCTTTAGGGCTGATTCATGTTTAAATGTGATCGTTTATCTTTAATCTAGACTCCACGTCTGTTGAAACATTGGTTTTGGTTTACAAGGCAAACAATTTGTTGATAGTTTGGGATTTATTTTTATTAAATTTGAATTCTAGAACCAAATGGGATGGGAGAAAGTGAACCTTTAAGGTTGAATCCACTTTAGTTTCTGTTGTTATTTCAGTTTTATTGTATTCTGCTTATTACATTTTCACTAAGTATATTGTTGTTTTTCTTTTTATATGCTTTGTATCATCAAAGTTTTATATTTCACAATTCCTCAAAGGCCTATTTAGATATGGTAAAATAGTTTTCATCTAAACCTTTCTGCATATAACCTACTTTTTAGACTTATGAAGAAAAGTAAATTGTCTTTTCTCTCTGTTACGTAATATAAATATATATATATATTTATATTACTAATATATATTATATTACAGTGGCATTGGATGTAGGAGTTTGCCCTGAAATCGAAGGATTGATGGTTCAAGCCCCGGCTCCTACTTTCAGTGTCGTCGTGTCCTTGGGCAAGACACTTCACCTGCATTGTCTACTGATGGTGGTCAGAGGGCCCGGTGGCGCCAGTGTACGGCAGCCCCGCTTCTGTCAGTGAGCCCAGGGCAGCTGTGGCTACAATGTAGCTTGCCACCATCAGTGTGTGCGTGTGGTGAATGGGTGAATGAATGTAATTTAAAGCGCTTTGGTCAAGTCTCCTGACTTGAAAAAAGGCACTATATAAGTACATGCCATTTACCATAACTAGTTTAAATATTGTCTACATAAACTGCAGTAAAAAAATACAGGAATTTTTTTCTGTTTTTGTAACGGGGAAAAAAACACCCAATGAGGTCAATGTCTTTTTTCCTAAAAGACAATGTTAGAGAAATCTAGAAATTTATCTTTGCAAACCGAAATTTTGAGAAAATATTTCTAATATAAAAACGTTTAAATCGACTTTCTTTTTGTTAATATTTCTCGACAATCACCAAATTTAATTAACTTTTTGTTCCTGTGTCTGTAGAGCAGCATGTGTCTCTTTGGACCCTCTACAATGGCTCTTAATAGTGGCAAAAAAAGTAATATAACAGAACTTATGTAATGTACTATTAGAACAAATACCAGTATTGGAAACTTTTTTTAGTTTTTGAAAAAAATATTGGACATCACCAGAAATAATTTTCTTGGAAACTAGGTGTTTTATTATTATTTTTGTTAACATCAAATATTTTCCCTACAGAAAAAAAAAATCCATACCTCAGTTTTTTTAAAAGCAATCGTGATATTTTGTGGCTCTAAGTGAGTTCTTCTTAGCTGAACTCAGGGCAAAATGACTCTTTGGATATGAAAGGTTGCAGACATGCGTTAGGGCCTGCAGAGGCATGGCGCTAAGAAAGGATGAGGGCACTGATAACTCACCACAACAGCATACAGATGGTACGGAGACGTCTCCTGTGCTGAGCTGGATAGAAACGCTGAAATATCCAGCTCCATGGAGAAGGAAACATTGGCTGACAGTTTGACCTGACTCTTCCCCTTACAGCCAAACCTTAAAAGAAGATTATAATTATACTGGATCAAAAGAAGGTATTTATATTCCTCTAGCCACTTTTATCTTTTTATTTAAGGTGTTATAAAACTATCTTCAGGCAGCTTGGATTAGTTTGCATGTCAGGCTAACATGATCTCATATTTTTATTGCTTTATGCATCTATACAGTGAAGGCAGGTACCAAATCTATGTTTGTAATATCTTGAATAATATTTTTTGCAGTTTTCCTGTGAAACCTTTAAAGGGATAAATATTATTCCTTTGTTTTGGCCAAAGCAAACATGTTAAATGACAGATAAAGGGATTTTTACCTTTTGATGCTATAGTTTGTGGATCAGTAGTTGAGATATTGGATTATATATACGGTATGACATGAATCAATAATGTGAATTATAGCTGTAATCAGATCTATTATGGAAAAATTTACATAGATTGTGTTTTATACTTACCGTTTCAGGTGCAATATGAGAATCTCTGGGGGCTTGTCTAAACAGGTTTGGACTGCTGCTTCTCTTCTCAGCCCACAGGCTGAGCAGAGCGTCTGCTCGGCCACAGTCAGGATGGTCTCCTCAAAGAACAGAGATAAACAATCCTGCACAGACATCAAAAATGGGTGAAGTTTAGGTCTCGCAGAACAACAGCGGGGACAAATCTGTTCAAACGTACCTCAATGGAGCACTTCTTGGATTTTTTGGGAATTGGAAGTGACAGTATAGTGAAGGTTTGGGCATTGTTTGCCTGGTGGCCACACTGCATGAAGTAGGTCAGGTAGCTTAGCTGGCCTTCAAACAGATCTGAGATGATAGTGGACTCTGTGGTGCTCTGTTTTTCTCCTGGCTGTCGTCTCGAGAAATGAATCTGACATGTGCCGACCAAATAAACACAAATGTGAACTTGGGAACTTATGAAAATATTTTTTTAAAGGAAATTTGAATCTGTATTTTTAACAGACAGTCTTAGTAGAAGAGTGATTTTGCGGCACCTTTTTCAGATCTTCATGGAGGCCATTTAAAAGGTGAAGCAGCAGTTCCTGAGCATCCTGCTGGGTGTAGTTATCAAACTGGGGGAAGATGGAGCCCAGCATGGACCTGGTTTCAACAGGGGCACAGCTGGAGCTGCTCCCCAGCCACATCTTCTCCAGCAGCTGGACAAAAACCTGTGCAAGCCTGCATTTACACCTGAACAAAGAGGTTCAATCAGTGGATCTGGAGCTATAGGAGAGAGAAGAGAGGCAGGGTGCTACATACCTTCCCAGGTCTTTGCGTGTATCTTGATTAAGAAGGTGCTCTACAAGGGGCATAGTTGAACAAAGACACTGCAGAACAGCATTTAAGTAGCATGAATTGCCAGAGTTGTCTAACCCACACACTCCTGGTCTGCTCTGCTGGCTCTGCAGCTGCCTTCCCAAGCTGCACTTCATATCCTCGGTCATCTGAACGCTGCCGTTAATGTTTGACCACCTGGAATAAAGACAGAAAACACATCGGTGTTCTACTTTGTGTGTCCCAAGTGGAAACAGGCTTAATTTACTGGGCTGGACTAGTTTGACCTCTGCCAAATTAAATGGTAGCCCTGGCAACAGAAATATCAGCATTCTGTATACACTTATTTGAAAGGAAACAAGCGGTATCTTAAAGCTAATTTGTCTTTATCATAGCAAAACTCTGATTTGAATGTGGTTAACTTGGAAACATAACCAATAGTTCTATTTATAGAGTTAAAGGAGCCACAATTTGAGCATTTGAGGGAGAAAAATGTTTTTATTTTATCCTCAAAGTGAGTCTAACCTGGTCTAGATAAAGAGAAAGATTAGTTATAGCAGATAAAACACAAAACATTTAAGAGCTTTTAGGAGTTTAATATCACATCAGTATGTCTGGGTTTTATAAATGGAAAACGGAAAACATCAAGTGTTTTTGTTTTTTTTATTGGCTCATAATAGAATTTTTACCTCATATTTTTTTATTTAAGAGCTAAAGATATACAGGTAACAGCAATGATATTAAATATTACAGCATTCTGTACTAATCACCCTAAATCTTCCCCCAGTTTAAAGTTAAGTTGTTCAACATATTGAATAACAGTAACACAGAAGTAACCTTCTTTTCTGATTTCATTTGAGGAAATTCAGGTTTTTACCTCATTGTAGTTATGAATTAGAGCTATGATCTAGATGTCATCCCTGAGGTGTATAATAAGCCAATATATATCTAGAAATATGTAATTTAAATTAACCAATTAATAATTACACTTACCATAAAACCACAAGATGCAACATTTATTCTTTTAGCTTTAACATGATTAAAATTTTAAATATGCAATTATAAAAGAAACATTTAAATGAATAAATGTCCCTTAGAAAAATAAATTGAAATAAAAAATCTAATATATAAATGTAATTTAAAAAAGGATTTATATATTTTGAGCATGATTCAAATATTGAATATGCCATGAAGTTTATAAAATGCACAGTTAAAAAAAAGTAATTGTCCCATTAAATAAAAAAATGAATATAAAATTAAATAAAAATGTATGAAGTAATCAAATGTTATTATACATTTATATAATACTATAAAGATAGATTTATGCTATTTATCTTGTACATTATAAACTATTTTATAAATAAACTCAAATTATACATTAGATCATTAAATCTTATTTTTAAAAGACTTCTTGTTTTATTTTAATAGATTGAGAGGGATAAAGTTATTTCTATTTCTTAAGGTTCGCCAATCTTTTGCACTATTCTTTCTGGGGTCACAGGCTTAAATGTTTAGGAACCCTTGATCAAGGTTATGACCCTCCATCGGCATGTCTTTAGATATTTCGCAGCAGTTAAATTTTGAAGAAAAAAAAATGTATCTAGCAAGTGTAACAATTGTTATCATGACAGATTTAAAAGCTGACTGTGCCCCAAAAAACATTTTGTACCAAATCTCAGCAGTGGTGTTCTGTTCAATATCCAGACTCCCAGAGGTTTATGGATGAAACATGAACATAAAAGCATTTTCCATCTAACACCATTTAAAACTGGATATTCTCATAAGTATTGTGTATCTAATCACTGCTATGGCCACAGGTTTATAAATTCCCTCAGCTAGGTTTATGGACCAATAGTCCTGACAGAATTGCTTGTTGTACATTTTCTCAGTGTATAATAAGATACCACTTGTGCACTAAGTTCAATCTTGAAATTTCCTAAATGTTTCTCAGTCTCAGTTGTGAGTAATATAACAGAGCAGAAGTGATTGGGAACAATAACTTAGTGTATGGCCTTATAAAAATCTTTGATTAGGATTGATGGATTGAAGGGTAACAGCGTCGGTAACTACTGACCTTTACAATTCTTGTGGCCTTTCTTTCAGCCCAAAAACACAGAACAGGGCTTTATGTAATGGGTGCACATGGCCTTATGGCTGTGTCCAAGCTTACATCACAACATTCAGATGGTGTTAAATAGCCCTGAGCTTAGACTCTAGAGCGGAGGAGACATGTACTCTGGACTGATCAATCATGCATGGTAATCTAACAGATTGGCCGTCATGACAGTTAGCATGAGATAAGTTGGTTTGGTGCTGCGCCACTGTTCCCACATGTCTGTGCAATAGTGCACAAAGCAAGGCCCATAAAGATATGGATGAGCAGGTTTATTGTCTAAGAACTTGATAGCAGAGAGTCTTAGTTTAATCAGATACACCTTTGAGTTTAAATGAATGAGAGGCTTTGAACATGTTTGTCCAACATCAATGTCTGACCTTATAAATGCACTCTTAGAAGGAAAGAATTAATGAAAAAACAAACCTTTTTTCCCCCCCCAAAGCTACAACCTGAAATTTAAGGGAAAATGGAAATCAAATTTTCTAAGGATGATTTTTAGGGTACATTTCTACCCATGTACTCAGAGAAGCATACAGATTGGTGTAAGAAAATAGACTGAAAATAACTGCTCAATATCCGGAAGCAATTAGCCCTCTTTGCAAGATTTTATTATTTTAACCTTCTTAAATGTAGACGATAGAGGTCATTTGAAATTACTCTTGACTAATTATGATAATGAACAGGATTCAGCTGCAGTAGCTATTCACAACTAACCTTTGCTTAGAAAGGTTGGTTGTTTCCTGGTAGGAACAGCTGTTCAGTTGAGGCAGAGCGGGGACAGCCATGTTGTTATCGGCTGCTAGCTGCGAGGCCAAAGCCCTGGTGAACTCAGTCAGAGGAACGCTCCTGCCTGAGCCCCGGCTCTGCAGAGAGTGGAGCACGAATGTGTTGATGCAAACCATGTGAAGGGCGGCCCAAACGCCCGGCATGAATGTATCTGCCACAGATTCTTTCAGGTCTGACAAAGAGAACAAAGCAGGTCCTTTCCAGCCCTTGATGTGGCCTACGAGTTCAGACATTGAATCCTCAGATGGAGATGAGGACGGCGAGGGGACGATGGTTAGTATTTTTCCTGAAGGAGCAAAGTTGATATGAACATCCAATCCAGAGAGAATGGTTTTGAGTCTTTCCTCCATCCCTGCAGAGTTGTCCAGGTGAATAATGTTCCTTTGGCTGCAGAAAGGCTCGACCAGTCGTCTGACCACCTGCTCAACTACAGGCCTGCTGCTCTGCTTCTGGAGATGCTCTGGAGAGTACAGGTACATGTTACAGATGAACCCAGTGCTTGAATCATAGAGGAGGGCCAGATGGAAGGAGCAAAGACTGTGCTGGTAGGAAAGTCTGTATTTCTTCACAGTCAGGCTGCGACCAGGAGTGTGGAGAGTCTGGTAGCGCCTACATAAACGTTTGCAGAAAGCAGACAAAGCTTCCAGCTTGTGTTCATCACTGAGTTTGGTTAGAGCCAGTAGACGGGTTTGGATGCTGTTCCTTTTCAGGACGCCTTGCTGTCTGTCCAGTTTCAAGGTTTGCTCAGACCCAGAGGTGCAGCTGTCCTCAAGAGACAAACCACTCCGGAGAACGATAGAAAACAATGTTAATGCCTCACTGTGCTCCTCATCAGAGAGACAAATGCACCTTTCCTTACTCAGGCTGTGTGGGAATCGATGAGCTCCAGCTTTCTCTCCAGCAGATCTCCTAATCAGCAGCTGGATGGCTTCTATATCCAAAGCTTCCAGAAAAAGTTCTCTGGCTGTGTAGTAAAGCTGATAGTTGGGTCTTATCCCAGTCTTTTCCAATGACTCCACTTTTTTGGATCTGAATATATTTGGCAGGCAAACTCTGCCCTTCTGTGAATCTCCATGCAGGTCTCCATCCACTAGATGGCACTCCTTGGATGTCCAGTCACACTCCTTCACTGACAAAATGCTTGCCCTCATTTCTAGCCTTTTAGAAAAGAAAAAAAAATCTTTCATTTATATAGAACCACCATAGTATTTTGAGATTAAAAAGCTGATCTGGTTTCTAAAATCTTCTCCCATCCTGTGTTTGAATTGAAAGCATCAACCAACGAAAGCATCAAACCAACCAGGAGATTCCTGTCTCTGGGATGTCTGTTTTCCTGTAAGTCTGACTGACTTTGTGTACGTTCAATGTACATGACAGCTAAATGTTCTCAGTTGAAACCCACTGAGGAGAATCCGCTGTGAAGGCGAATCATTTGGGATCCACAGTAGCCAGACAACCCAGACAACACACAAACAGGTTGCAGTGCAGTTACTAGGGTTGTTTTTTTCCTCACTGATGTCCCTTAATGATGCAGATTAAGACAACACGTATGTTTACAAGCAAAGCCAATCGGTTTGCACTGGGAAACAGCCCTGCCTTCCTAAGTTGGCCTGTGTAAATTCTGATCTATAGTTAAACACAGGAAAATACTTTTAATCACTTTCAAAATTTGTATCCTTCCCTGCAAAATTCCATTTTCTTTATTTTCTAACACTATTCACTTTCCCCACTTTTAATATCATTTTTATGCAATAAATAGAAGCTGCAATAACAGGTGGAAATGTTTTTATAGATATTACCTAAGGCTTTGCTAAAGCACTTTCTATCATGATGTGTTGTCAGAATGGTGGTCTCATGTTGGGGTTTATTAGAGCTAAATATATTAGAAGTAACCTTAGAGGAGTAGAGAAAAAATATTTGGCAAAGTCAATAAATGGTTCATCAACAATGATGGGGCAGTGTGATATAAATACAAATAAACATGTGTCAGGAAATAGAAGGATTTGACATAGGATGGAACAAACTAACTGCCTTAAAATTGCCAGGGAGCCGATTGGTGGAATAGGTGGAACAGTGGAAAAACTCTGGGGAGGACAGCCAGACTGAACAACAGGGGAAGCAAACAAGTATGAGTGGGGAAAAAAAGATATGGGGGGAAATGACAGAAACTAACCAGCTTAAAGCTGCATGGGAGGTGATCAGTGGCATGGAAACCAGATGAGTCTAATTAGCAGAGTGCACAGATTCTTCATAAGCACAAAAATAAATCATCAGAGATCTGAACAGAAAGC